AGAAAAAAATTTCAAGATATTGTAGCTGTGAATAAAAGAATGGAAAAGATCTTTGATCAGCTGAACGAACGTGGTAAAAACTATTCAGGTAACAAATTGAGTACGAAGACTACTCTTGAATATATTGAAGATTCAGTAGAAGCAGATATGTCAACACAATTCTTCCGAATTCAGAAAAATCAACTCATCGATTTAAAACAACAACTGGAGAAATATGTAAATACTTTACCTGTTTTAGATTTAACAGTGGTAGATATGATTTGAATTTGATCAAGTCATACTTAATCCCTTATTTAATTCGCGATAAAGAACAAGAAACATCCGTCATCAAAAAAGCAAATGACTTTATATCTTTCAAGTTTGGAGATGTACAATTTCTTGACATAATGAAGTTTCTGGTTGGGGCAACTACTCTGAACTCATTTCTCAAAGCCTATAAAGCTAGCGAAACGAAAGGATCCTTTCCCTATGAGTGGTTTGATAACCCAGATAAACTTGACTTTCCTGAATTGCCACTGTATGAAGCCTTTTTCAGTAAACTTAGAAACGACAATCCTCTAGACAATGACTTCATTGATTATGAGAAGCTTAGAAAGAGTGGGCTTGACGAACAGCAGGCACTGAAAAAGCTTCAAATCAAGACTGTTCCTCCAGCTAGTTTGGATAATTACAATTACTTACTAGAACTTGGAAGAAAAAACGGAATGACAGTACTCAAAGACTTTTTGAAATGGTACAACAACAAAGATGTAGTTCCAACCCCGGAAGCAATGCAAAAAATGATTCAGTTTTATCATAACAAGGGGATAGATATGTTAAAATTTGGATGGACACTTCCAAATCTAGCAAACATATGTCTACACAAATCTACAAATTAAAGTTTGATCCATTTTGCGAAAGTGATAAAGATTTGTGAAAAAATTAGAGAGGACATGGCTGGTGGACCTTCCATTGTTTTCACTCGAAAATCTGTTGTTGATGAGACATACATCAGAAATTCATCAATTGTTTGTAAATCAATCGTTGGAATTGATGCAAGCCAGCTTTACCCTTTCTCAAATTGGAGCCGGGTCTTTTTAAAGAAGAATTTAGATGTACATAAAGGCTCTGCTTGTGTAGCAAAACATATTGCTGCTATGACAACAAGTCAAACAAGTTCAAAGTCAGCAGTAAAGGTTTGAACAAACGAGTTCTAGAAGATTCTGTAGACGGACCTATGGCAAAGTACAGGAAAGTGCTCGATGAAGCAGTTTATCTCACATCTACTAATAGAGGATTCAGAACTATAAATCCTATATTTGCTACATATGAACAGACAAAGAAAGGACTAAGCTACTTTTATCCAAAAAGACAAGTTCAAGATGATGGAATTTATACAAAACCATTGAACTTATAAGAACTCATGCAAAGTAATAAATTTAAAACAAGTGATGCAATTTTTTAAAAACTTTTGTACGAAGTAGTATTTCGTTGGTGTATTATTTTAAAGTTGCGGTAAATTTACTATGCGATGCAGTGATTTATATACTTTTTTTGTAATTTAATTTTTTTCTCTAAATTTTGACTTTTCTCCAAGTTTCAGTAGGTTTCAGCATAGATTCAGCTAGATAGAAAATAAGATTATCCAATAAAATAGATCAAGTTACAGCAAATCACATCGTGTTTTGACGTTTTTTTGAAAAAATTGCACAAAAACTCTTACCATTAATTTACCTTGTACCAAAAAACTAAATACATAACCTTAATTCCACAAACCTCTCGCAATTAACCAGTAATCAAAATAACGCGCGCCAAAATTTTTGCGAAAAAATAGACATTTCCACACAAAAACCAAAAAAGTTTCGTTTTTCTTACCATTATCTTACTACCATCACACAAACCATAAAACCTTACCATATGGTTTCCCTATCTTAATACACTATAGACTCTATACCCAATGTTAATACTTAGCTGGAAGACCGGATGCTCTATTCCCTATATTAAAACATAGGGGTCTTCCACCCCACCCCCACTTTAACTCCAACATCTACTACTCCTGCTCCCCTTATTTGTTTGAGTTTCACGAATCCAATCAAGCGTCTGCTGTCACGTATGCAGATTGATCCATTTTGAGTGAAGTGGTCTTAGAAAGCTGAAAGATTGCCTTGGAGATTTTGCCTCGCTTGTAGCCAATCCTATGTGTTACACCATTCTGTGACTAACTAAACAAATCTCGCACGGCAGTCTGCAACTAATTCCCTCCAAAAATAATTTCACTTCCAGCCACCATACCACCTCTTTTAACAAATCTAGCACCCAATTTGTGTCCTCTGGAACCAATCCCCAATCAACCGAGCAAGTTTTCTCAATTAAATCACTGAACATTCTGCAACTGAGTTTGTACGGTTTCTCTGAGAAATATCTCGGAATTACAATCTTAATGTGTGAGTACCATACCCACATGGCTGTTTTCCAAAAAAAAACAAAGTGAAACTCATTAAAACCGTGAACTCCTCGCTGCCATTCCTAACTCTGTTCTAGAGAACGAAGAGAAATAGTGGAACACAGAATTTTTGAGGCACAATGAATGCAAGTAATTCAGCAACCAAAATCTCTGTATCACCCCCAATGACTATGCAGCTTTCATCATATCTCTTAGATAAAAATCGACGCTTCTTGGCGATGTTGCACTAGTACTCCAATGTCTCCGAGGTCCAAAAAGAGGTTAGTTTCGGGGCCGTCATAATTGGATCGTTTTTACCACACTTAACAATCATCATTAAACGAGGCTCCCCTACGACAACACATTATTATGATCTCCAGATTTTCCGTGGCCTCGTCGTCTTTTGTAATAAATCTGCCATGGCAAACACTTTTAAAGGCAAGCTCAGATGAACTCTGAATTTTAATTAGCCTCTCAATTGCTGAAATTATACCATTTGCGCCTCGCAAAGCTTTAGTTGCTTTTCAAAAGTACACTGAAAAATTTTGAAAAACAGAATTGTTGACGCTTGAGCGAAAAAACCGTTGCAGTATGATGTAAACGCCGCTGACTAGACCTTCCGTGACACGATACTTGCGGCCGAACATCACCACTTTCTCAGAAACAGGCACCATTTCTTTGCTGCTGCCCTGAGTGAAGATACAGAAACTTGCGCTTATTTCAACTCACAAATGATGTAGATCAGAAAAAGCTTGTCAAATTTTATTTCTTTGGAAACTCTGAGCTGCATCAAAGCGGCAAAAACCTCAAAGTTATTGCACCAGATTGTCACTGTACAGTCCACCTTAAGCGTTTTGGCCCATTATCACAAGCATTTTTATCAGTATTTCTTTGTTTAGTTTCTAAGTTCTGGAAAAAAGTCAAGTAGTGCTTGCCTAAATTCTAACACTCATTAATCTCGAAGTTATGTCGCTTTGTTTAATCTTAAGACGTGCTGTCTTAGTTTTGCCCCCGATGTAAAAGTGCAATCATATGCGGACGTTGTCAACCCTTTTGTCAGTCAAGTATCAATACCACGGCATCCTCAGTTATCTTATCTAAATAACAAACCAACTTACGGTTTTTTCTTGAAGGTAATTTGTTTTTTCTTCAAACGGTTTCCACGTCTTAAAAAATTTATTTTTTTAGCAAAGGTCTAGCCCCGACCCAAAGGTGGAAATGATTAACTCAAACCTGCCCCTCGTGAAAAATTGCTGGCGAACGTTCGCCGCAAAAGACGCGCGCATGTTATCGAGGCTGAAGACTCTATCCGAGTTTTTTTGCTTTCAGTCCTAAGAAATTTTACTGGTTAGAACAATTTTGGATTTTGCTAGCCTTGCTTGGTCCCATGATGTCAGTAAAACTTCATTCAACAAAGCAAACAGTACAAAATGCTGCTCTCCGCGTTATAACTGAGTGCAAAAAAAAGATGAGTGCGCTCGAACATTTACTTTCGTGTCAATTTTTGATCGCCGACCACCACCATCGTCAACTGGCTTCGCAGTTTGCCCTGAAAACGTTCTTTCCACAATTCCCCTACTTTTTTCGTCCGCATCATCATCTTGAACCCTCCACGGGAATATTCGCCCGTACCTGCTGAATTGATACGCATTGAAAAAATATCCTATCTGAAATTACTAACCATTTGTTTTTCATCGCAATTAGATACTTATAGAGTTAGGCAGACCATATCAGACGCACCGCCCTCGAAAGATCGTGGCCTAAGACCACCTTAGATCTCCCCGCTGAATAGTCCCCCTCTCGTTTCACTAGGAGAACGCTAATTTAGTTGTTTGGGTACAGCCTATACTCCAACACTTTCTTGAACCATGCTAACACCAACGTTTCCCAAACTGCCCCTTGTCGTTCACCCGCATCATTCTCCATCTTTACTCGCGCCATTCCCATAATTGTGGCTTCGTCACGTTTCTATTGCATTTCGAAGTTGCGACTCTTCTGAAGCTCTGTTCGAGCATGTCTGATGTGCCTCTTTGGGCCTTAAAACAATAACACAATGAAACAAGGATAGACGGCTACTATGCAAGTAGCACAGTGTTCCGACTTTAGTCTAAAAGTCTTTTTTGAAATTAGTGTCGTTTTTTTCTCTACGCGATGTTATAAAAGGATCTGAACGAAAAACTGGGTTTTAGGATTGAATAAGTTCACAATTTGCAAGGATTGAATAAGTTTACCATTTGGAAATTTATTACAAACATTTCATACAAACAGTTCATACATCTCAATTTCATTGTTGAGTTTTTGATTTTATCTCGACGAATGAATTTTTTGCAGCTTTAGATCATGATTTTTTCGTATTTCAGATCTGATAATTTTCTTATTTGAAAATGTGGGAAAGTGAAGAAAACGATCCTACTTGTAGCTGGCAATATATTTATTGTTTCATTCGTTGTACTATTTCAAGGAAATTTAAGTCTTTTAGTAGTTGAACATTTTTTGCTGCTAAAATATCTATAAGCGTTTTCTCGTTTTTATCCTTTAAAATGGCGCGTATCCAATTGTTTGCTTGTGTTTATTGTAGTTGAGCGTGGCCCTATCAGACTAGAGGATGGCAGTTGGGTCATCTACAGGGTCTACCAACTCAAAAAGATCAACGCCATATTCACAGCTAACGACCAGATCTCATGACAGTTACTGTATTCAAGATCAACCGGAGGCGAGACAAATGGTTGAAAGAATACCAACGCGAAATGGAGCATCCGAGGAAAGATCTGGCAATGAACAATTTTTGGTTGAAAGTAGACTAAGTTTCACGAAGTTATAAGTTAAAGTTTTTGTATGCTCTGATTGAGTGTTCAGATTGATTAATTGCAATATTCAAATTGATTTAGTTAAATTGTGCATTTTGAATAATTATTTTGAAGTACAACTAATTTTTTGTACATAGCTCAAGTGAATTCAATTTATCGCCAGAAGTTTTCATTAGGGTACCAAGTAAAAAATCTTGCAGATTTTACATGTCGACTTTTGTGACGCTAGATATCGTAGCTATCAGGTATTAAAAATGCGAAGCACTACAATCATTTTGGATCAGCTTGACGATTCTGTGTTATTTATCCAAGAAGCGACCCACGAATTGTATTCTAATGCTGGCTTACAATTCTATTTTTTTTTGTCTGATTTTTTTGTCTGAAGTATCGACTAATCAAAAATCAGAAATTTGTTCACTTTTTTCAGAGGAAAGAATCGGCATCTAAACCCTTGTTGATTAGATTTTTGTACTCCCTTGTTGATTAGATTTTTGAATAGTTTAAAACATGAAATTACGATTGTTGCTGCCTGCCCCCGCACTTACACCGCCTTCGCCAAAGACTGACGGTTTTTGAACTGACTTTTAAAATATTTACATTACACTCCATAAATGGAGACTCAGTAGCTTTTATTACTTCTGTAATGGTGATGCAAAGAACTGAGACGCCAGAGCTTAATGAGCGGAACAAAAAGGCGAACGTTTTGAATATTTTCGCTAATGAGCAGATCTTTTGATGATTGGACATTTCTTCATTAAATTGTTCTACACGTGAACTGAAGTGAGGCCAATTACAGCTTTTTTATCTAGTTTTTCGATGTTCACTGTTCAACTTTTTTACATTTTACCATTTTAATACCATTGAATAACTTCATAAAGTTAACAAACCGTGCGATGGTACGTAGGCCTACTGTAATTACCATTGCTTTAGTTAAACTGCTCTAAGCAAAAATTTTTTAAATATAAATACACGTTCTATGTTATAAACGAATACACATTTAAGTTGCTAACAAGGTGGATTTGGATCTGAATCAGAATTTTGAACGCCTTCTTGCCAAAAGTGGTCATTTTTGTGGTAAAATTGATTAGTTTCATTCTTGTGATATTTAAAACCATCGGAGGTACCGTGAGACTTGCTGTTTGCTTATAAGTGAGTTCATTTTCTGCTCAACTTGAAACTTTCTTAGCATACATTATTTTTTAGGCACTTAATTCGGGATAGTCTGTGGAAAATCTAAAGAAGGTAAGATCTTTACTTAATTTCGTTCAAAATTACCGGTAGAAAGCCACGAGTTTCTGATAGGCTCTAAACATTCATTGACTTCCATCAAATTTGATTGTTCAAGTTAATGTGAAAATGAATTCAAAACGGTATTCAGAATTTTTTTCTAAAATTTCAAAAAATGCTGCTTTCCTTTGGGGTGATCTGATCATAATGAGACTGGTAAAGCTAATGATTTTGAAATTGATTCCAAATATTGCAGAGTGATTCCTAGTAATAAATTTCCTGAAAAGTGGCAGAATCTGGGACAATTTTGGTGTTTTATAAGTTGCTTACTCTTTAGATATACAAAGTAGCTCGGAGATTTCAGTGTAGCTCGGCCAAAACTCGATGTAAATCAGTAGTAAAGGGGATTCCTTTGCGCGTCAAAGTAGTAGTAGTTTGTACAATCTCTGGGTATATGCAATATTATATTTAATTGCTCCTGCTCCTACCCGCGACCTGCTCACTAATCCCCCCCCCCCCATTTGTGATTTGTCCAAACAACGTCTACTCTCCAAATTTCGGAGGGTAGATAAACCTCAATGCCACGCCCCCTTAAATCTGCTCCTGATTTAATTAGCTTAGAGCTGGTAAGGTTGTAGAACAAAATTTTAATCCCAGCAACCGCTGTTGGAGTGAAAGATTTTCTTTTAGATTTCTGTGTAAGATGAACTCGGTAGCCTGGGTCTTTGTGGCCCTGCTAGGCGTTGCACTGGTTCAGCACGCTGTAGCCCAAAACAGTAAGTATTAAATTGGAATTTTTGTAGTAATTGTTGTCTCTGTACCAGAAAACATGCTCTAGCTAATTTATAATTCTAGGAAGGTCGTGAACCGGTAAATTTGTGGAAAATTAGCTTTCTTCTGCAACTCAATTGTGTTTAAAAAATCAAAACTAGAGATTTTTTTGCGTTTTTTTTAGGTTTAAGAAATGTGTGACGTATAGAAAACTTGTAAACCTGAAATATTTTACCACTCAAGACTTTTCGAAATACCAATAGTTCCATCCACAGTGTTTGATTAAGTTATTTTAAATATTTGATGCCCTGTGTGAGCGCGTCAGGAAAAACTGCTGGGTTTTGTTGCAGCTATCACACAATGTTTTGTGTCTGACTTGAGCGAAGGCACAATCTACTACTCCTACGACTCCGCCACTAACATGAACAACAAGCCGATCGCGGTCATGCAGAGTCTTGACTCACAGAACAACATTGTATCGCCACTGTTCCAGATCGAACTGGACACTTCCACGTCCAACTACGAATTGGAGTGTTGGGTTAGTTGGCGATTTGTGATGAATCTGTAATTTTGCCCCTTAATTCTGATCTTACACATCAATTTTAGAGAAATTAGACGCATATTTCTTTCTCATTTCAAGTATCAGAAGACGTCAATTTTTTATTTTTGTCTCATAGCTCAACACCCAACTCACATTTCTCTACAAAAGTTCAATTATAAATGTATCTGTATATTTTGACCTAGAAAAGTAGCTGAACGTATGTATATTTTTTCTGATTATTTGACTTATTAAGAGGCGATGAACATAGTTCAGGCTCCTATATAGGTTAGGAGGTTTTTTTCTCGTTTTTTTTTTCAGGAAAAGTCTTAAAGGTTGTTCAGGCTCAATTTCACGGTTTTACTTCAGATTTTTTTAAGTTCAGTTCATTTCTTTGTTAAAAGGAAAGCAAGCTCACCTATCGAACAGCAAAAGTGTAAAGGTCACTAAAAACGTGATCGACTTCTAGTTTCGAAAGTGGAATTGAATTTTTAGATTTTCCAGCGGAATAAAAAATTTACTTATTGATCCAGTTTTCTCAAATTGGCCTAATTTTAACAAAGAAGTTTCAAATCAAAGAGTTTGAAGGTCTTTTTAATTTTGAAGTCCTTATTTTTGTTTATGTGTGCTTGCGGCCATGTTTTTAATTGAAAGTTTTCTTATTCGCCAAGTAACTGAGGAAATCAACCCAATCAGAATATTTGAAAAAGTTTTGAAGAAGTGAGTTGAAAAAAGCGAAGAAGTGCTTATTGCCATACATTTCAGAATAAGATATAAATGAACAAGGTGAATTTGCACTAATGAAGGCCGTGCGTTTTTCAGGAAAAAAATGATTTTGAATTGAATTTCTTCTGAACTGGTTGTAGTTTTCTTTAAGATCAATGAACGTAGTGAAGCCTCTTATGTAGGTATCACTGATTTTTTTGTTTTTCTTAGGAAAGTCTTAAAATATTGATGAACTTAGGTATAATCACTTATTGAGTTCAATTGAAATTAATCTGCTGAAAGTGACGTAAATAGCACTCTCCAAAAACGAACGTGGAAATGGCGCGAAAAGACATGAAGGATTTCTATTTTCGAAAATGGATTTTATTTGTAAGATTTCCCAGCGGAATAAAAAATTTATCTATTGATCCAGTCTCAAGTTGGGTTCATGTTATCAAAAAAGAGCCGATCAGAAACTGTTCTAGAAATTCAAAGAGCTTTTTTTCTTTGAAGTTCAAAAGTTCAGTTTTTTCAAGAAAGTCAGTGTTTTTTAATGCTTACTTGCGTTCATTGCCCTTTTCCAATCTTCGATTGGCTATGTGTACTTTTTGGAAGGCATTTTGGCAATAATAACAATTATATATGGCGGTTGCTGTGCAAGTAGCCTAGAATATTCCAATCATACTCATAAAAAAGTACCTAAAAAGCTTTGTATATTTTCAAATTCGTGTTGGTTTTTGTGAGTCGTGCGATAAAAATATTTGATAAAAACATAGAAATTAGGCGCGTTCGACAGTCAAAGTAAAAATATGAATCGGGCAACGGTTTTAGTCAAAAAATCCCAAAAAAAATTATTTCATTTTTTTCATTTCAAAAAAAGTTTTCTTCATTTTTGTGATCGAATCACGACTGAAAGGGCTTTGATATGATTTATTGCTTGACCTATATCAATGATTATTTATGGCACCTAATTTTGCGTGGTAAAGAAAAAAAGAAAAAAGTGAAACACCTGAATACAAAGTTTCTCCCCATTTTTCAAATGGTCGGAGCAATAATTATAATGATCATGATAATAACAATGGAATTGGAGCCGAAAAGTTGGGTGATTTTGTTTTAAAGGTTTATTTGTTTCTGAGAATTATGAACGGATTAAAATTTTTTACATATTGATCCAGTTTTTTTCATTAAAAGTGTCTTTATTAAAAAGTGCCTTGAATAAAAATGTATCTTTATCAAAAAAAATGTCAACAATAAAAGTTTCGGCTCTTTTCCACTACCCCTCACCCTTGAATTTCCATTTGAATTTCTGAATTGCATGAAACTTGGTATAGTGAACAAACTAGCAATTGTGAACAGATTTGTTCTTCATGCTTTACATCGTAACATAACGCGTTTAGACATTACATGTAAAACAACTATGAAAACAAAAACATTTGAAAGGGAAATAGAAAATAGCCAAAGGTTCTTCGAATTCAAAGAGATAAAAAGGGGTTGCAGTTTTCAAAGTTGCCAAAGGGGTTGCAATTTGCGGTAAAGCTTAAAGATGGATCTTGGGAATTCGATAGTTCAAAAAAAGTCGTAACGGTGAAAACCGTTTTGACTGCCCTTGCCTCTTTACAAATAACAAGCGTTATAATCATCAACAATCAAAAACTAGTGGTTTTCTACCCAAAGTTTGAAGAAAAGTATTTGCTCCATGAGTGAAGTTAGTCAGTGGCGGATCTACGATTTTCTTGAGCGGTGGGAGGGGGGGAAGTGGGGGTTGGGTTTGGACGGTATTTCAAAATTATCAAAATTTTGTCGACTTTTTTTAGATCGACAATTTTGATTTCCCGAGCTCTCCGAAATCACAATAAAGACCCTATGTTGGCCAAATTTCCTGCGCAACAGGCGAACTTGATAAAACAAACAGGCAATAAAGGCGTTTGTAGGCATTTTTTGGAAACGTTTGACCAAACAAGCGTGTTTTTTCGGCGCCCGCTACCCCTCAAAATTATTGTAAATTGGCGCCAAAGGCGCTTTTATGAAGATTTTTGCGTAGTTCAGCCACAAATGGATGTCTTGAAATACAAGCAAAGGGGGACCCCTTGGGTCGTCAGGGGATCGAATCCCCGAGGGAGGGGAAGGGTATCCGCTAATCACCCACCCCGCCTAAGTCAGCTACTAAAGTTAGTACCAAGTACTGGTAATGCCTCGGAGTTGAATTCAATTGGTTGTGTGAAGTAAATTTCATTCCCACTTTGAGGGCTAGACGAAAGGGGGAAAGAACTTCAATTTTGGATGTATAATTTTCCTCGTTCGACAAGTACCATAAATAAGCGTTGGTTGTAGTCGAATATGACTAGAGTAAATTTTTTGCAGTGTCGAGAAGAAGCGACGGGCGAGGAGTTTAGGATTTTAGACTAATTGAGAACTTCAGAACAGAGGATGAATTCGGTCAGTTTTTACTGTAAGTAATGGAACTGAAATAGAATGAAGGATTTAAGTCATTATTAGTTAATTAAGGAAGATGAATTTTTTAACCTTTTCTGTCTAAAAACAAAAAGTATAATCCATTTAAAAAATCAATTTTATTATTAAAAAAATATATATTTACACAAGGGAAGCAATGCTTTATGGTACGATTTTTTTCCAATCTAAGTCTTTATTGTTGCGACTTTTGTTGCGACTAAGTCGCAATTTTTGTTGCGACTTAAAGCTACAATATTTTATGCGTCGAATTTGATGCATAGAATTGGCAGCAACATATTTTGATAGTTTGTTGCACCTTTGATATTTACTTGCTATGACTTCGAATAGTTATAAGTTTACACAGTTGATGCATTTTTAATTCATCAAGTGAACCGAAGAAAGCTTTTTGTTGCAAACAACATAACAATAATGAAATCTCGATATCAGAATTTTTCTAACTCAATATATCTCGCAATATATCTCGAAATGGATGATTTATACATAATGTGCCTTATGATTTGCGATTTTTTTTTACATTCAAAATTTTACCTTTTTGTATTTGATGCTACTTTTGCTGCATCGAATTGCAATTTATTAGCATATGTAGCTGTTTTATTGGTGGCTAGTTTTTGGGGATCTTAAGCATCCGTGGCTGAATGGTTAGTGCGTGCGTGAGACTCAAATTTGCTAGGTCGCAGATTTTTGCTTATTCGAATTTTTGCTAAGCCTCGAGTTTTTGCAAATTCGATGCTTATTTCTACTTTTTCTTATGTCACATGATAGAGCTGCTTTTTGGTCGTGTTCTCGCAAGAGACTATCTGTGGCACTTTTCGTTTTTCAAAATGTGACGGGTCAAAACATAGTTAGTTTTTGAAAATAAAAACATGAAGTAATATCAAGTTTTGTTAAGTTGAAATTGTTGATTTTAAGTGAAGTTGGGCAAATTTTAGTGAAATAGAATATATTGACCGAGTGGTTGGTCTTCACCCAAAACCATGTAGACTCAATGGCTTGAACGAATTTTTGTCTTGAGATGGGGTTGTATAAGGCAAGACTAGAGCGCCAAAAATGGTAACGATTTTCTTGCTAAGCGAAAACCTTTTGTTTTTATGTATTACATTAATCAAAACATGGAAAATTCAACAGGAAAATTTGAAATTGTGCAAAGCACATCTCTGGGAACTGCTGAGCCCTGCAAGGAGACAGTTCTTTTTCGGACCCTCAAGTGGAGCCGCGAGCGCATCGCTGGGCAGAGTGCAGGTGGCTGGAATCGATGGTGGCACATTTGTCGACTGCTATCCGGGTAAGCAGACAAAAACAGCTATTTTATTCATTTTGAAACTGGAACTGACACTAGTGTTTAATTACAGAGCATCCTTTGAGAAATGAGTTTTTTGCACTATATAGAAATTATCTCTCTAGTTTGTTTTTAAGTCTTAAGTTTTTAATTTTTTTCTAGAAAAAGACAAAAATTTGTTCACGTTCAAATTTGATTTGTGCTACCTGACTTCTGATTTAATTTCAAACTCAAATCATTAGCTAAAAATAAGACAGAATTAAATCAGAAGTGCTACCTGACTTCTGATTTAATTTCAAACTCAATTCATTAGCTAAAAATAAGGCGGAAAAAAAAGATTCTTAGTTTCAAAGATGGATTCGAATTTGTAGATTTACCATCAGCACTATCTCTATATGGCGTCTCGAAATAATTGAGGCAGTTGAATTGAGTCTCTTTTTAATTGCGATATAGATATATGCACCTATCTTTGGTAATCTGTATCATAAATTAATTTTTAATCCTCTATGGGGTATTTTATTGACGCGGGCTATATTGGCATGGGCTATTGTGCCCATTGGGATATATCGGTATGGGCTATTTTGTAATGGGATAATTTCGTATGGGATACTTTGTCCTGTCACCGTAGATTTCCCACTGAAATTTAAAAAAATGCTATTTGCTGTAAATTGGGTAGTTGAATTTTAAAAATCCATCAAAAAAGCAATCATAAATTTGAATTCAAATTGCCTTGAAATGATATATTTTTTTCGCTGAAAATATTTTATGTTGAAGCCTTTTCATCAGCTGTGGTTTCGATTCGAAAAAATATCAAGAATAGATGTCTCACTATTGAGAAAAACGGGTCTGAAGTGTGTCGTTTTTCTAGACTAAATTGATAAAGGCTAACAGGAATTTGGTTTGAGGCGGACCTTCAAATATCGTTCTACTGCATTTTTAAACGTTATATTAATCTAATACAATCGAATTTTGCAGAAAAAAAAACAGGAAAACTTTTAAGAAATGAAATAAAAAAAAATGAAAAAGATTGGGTTTTTTGGTTGAAGTTTTTTTGAACTATATTCTTCAATCAGTGTGGTCGGATTGTTGTGTGCAAATAATTGTCCTTTTTTGGTAAATCTATTGTATTGAATATCGAATTTCTCCAAAGCCTGTTTTTGTTTTGCCTTGGTACGTTTCAAACACCGTTGATATGTGATGATTGAAGGAAAGGGAGACTTAAAGAATGTCATTCTCTTGAAGACGTACGAAGCTCACGTTTCACTGCGGGAGCCGAATTGTCTTGCTATTCGGTTTTTTGGTCGCTGGAAAAATGAAAGACTAATTAGTCATTCAGTCTTCACTTTTCCTGCTTGGTTCCTCTCACAAAAGTAAAATTTGTTATTGTACAAAATTTCACGAAGCAACTTCTTTTGACGAGACCCTACTGCTTTTTTTTGCTATCACAATTGAAAATTCAGTTAGGTTTAATGTTATATTCGCTGTTTATCCTAAATGATACTGGATAGTACGGTGCTAGGTATTTCAGCAAACCGGTTTTTAGCAGACCGATTTTTTTAAGCAGATTCAGAACAATTACCAAGTCAGAACAGTTACTTCAAACGCGGCATTGTTACTAATATTTAGTGCTGACAATTTTGTTACAGTCGGAAGAGTGTTAGATTTCATCAATGATCCTGTGGACTCACTTACTTCTTTCACTGGAGCCGAGACGGATTTTGGAGGTGTTAACGGAAACTTGATCGGAATTCAGTATTGGCCAGTTTCGAGTGAGTATAGAAATAGGAAAACTAGCTGAGCGTTGAAGCTTGCACGAATCATGATCAAGGAGGTTATACACAGAGAAGAGCCCACATGACGAGGGGCTAATTTTTCTTGTTAATGATTCCGCTTGCACTTAGGGGAAATATTTAGTTTTTTTTCTTCTCAGTTTCAGTGTTATTTTTGTTAACATCGTGTTTGCATAATTATATAATATAATTTATATAAGATGGATTCCGGTCCCGTCTTTGTTGTTTTTAAAAGACAATTGTATTTTCAGTTACACCCTATTTGAACAATAACAACCTGCAGGGTCTTACGGTTTCGTATGGTGGCGGCAACAGTGCTAATTTCGGAATCACCAATAATGGAGGTAAGTCAGATTGATATATTGATTTAGTTGTGAAATGCGTATCGAAATTTTCAAATTTACCACATCGTTCTGTATTTTTACCTTTGATTTCAGATCAGTATTTCATCTGTGTTTAGTTTTGAAGTTACTATGGGGACTTGAAAGTTGTCAATTTTGTTATAATTTGGTTTATAGTGAAATTTGGCGCGAAATTTCATATCTTATGTAAACGCGCAGCAAATAGGGCGAGTTAATCCGGCTCAAAACCATTCCAAGACTCTAGGCCGAAAGCAGGTGTCGAAAAGGCAACGGATAATCGATAATTAGTTCTGTTGTTATTATAGGTCAGACCGCGGAAGCATTTTCTGCCGGCAATATCCTAAGAATAACTCTTTACTACACTTCGTCAATCAGCGTGGGAACTACGTGCGGATTGGCAATTGATTACGCTGACAACACAAATGATTACGCAGTCGGTTGTTCTACATTCGGTGACACCTTCACTATTTCGAACGGCTTTGATTTTGCTGGTTTCATGGGATACCATGCCAGTGGCGACAACAACCTTCTTCTTTTCCCTCTCGAAAACCGTTAGTTCATAAGTTTGATAGGATAGGTAATCTTTCTCTGTAAATGAAATTCAGACACAATTAAAAACAATTGGCGGAGACTTAGCCACTTTCTCACCGCTCATCTTAATTAAGTGCTGCCAATAGATGTATAAGGCTATTTCATTTTGTCCTAAGTGTCGGAAGTTTTGCATTAGGTTGCATCATAACAAACTTTGAACTTTTGGACTAAATAGTTTAGTCTCAAGTTAAAATTTATCGTTATAAAAATATTTTAAATCCCTTTTTCGAGGATTTCGAAATTTGACCGATGAGCAGTTGTTGTTGTTTAGAGCGAATGCAGCCTAAAGTGTTCTACTACGGCCGCACTCACAGTTCAGTGACAGCCTACGTGAATGCTTTCTTCCCGCTTCCCACAGATCTGAGCTACACCTATACACTAGTTAATGGCATCGACACTAGCTCTGACTCGCCTTCATATTCTTCAGTACTTGTAGGAAGTGTGTCTGCATCACAAGGTAACTCTGGACAATTCCAATTCCAAATCAGAACCGACTGCGGGTGTGTGCCTGTGAACTTGACCGTGGCCGCAGAATACACAGATGACAGTGACGTTGTGAATGGTCCTAGTGATCAAACGACTCTTTGGTCATGTAAGTTGGGAAGGATTTTTTTCCCCAAGTGTTACTCTAACGCAGCCGAGACACTATTCTAATCATCTGCTTCTAATTTTGCCTGCACGTTCATATCCTATTTTTGTTTTGATGATTTTTCCTATCGCAAATCAATAGTAAATCGCAATGTCTAATTTTCCAAGCAGAGATTGGATTGTCAGTTTAGTGTCAAAATGTGAGTATTTTTGAATTGTGTAAAAAATCAAATTTAGTTAAATGTTGTGCAAATATTGCCCATGAGAGGTTTCATTGAAGCTCACAATCTGATCTGAAATTGTACTGACTGCGAAGTTATATCTTTCTTTTTTATCGGTATTGGGCACAACTGGGTGCGTTCCGTTAATGTTTCCGATGACACAAACAAAAACATTCGTTTCTTTGCATCAATCATGATCCCTTATCAAATTTTTGATCGGCATTGAATGGTATGTTCTAATTATTCAAAGCATTTTTAGCCTTGTACTCTCTTTAGACGTGCGATATAATTATGTTAATGTTTTGTACAGTTGGTTATGAGGCTGTGGAGGTTGATCAAACCAACATACTTGGGGGAGTTCAGAATTATGGAGCTACCTACGAGACCTACTCGCAGTTCGTGTCGCCGGACGAAGGTCAGCAGCGTGTGGATAAGTGTCCCGAAATGTTTCTGCTCTGGGCCATAACTGACCTTGTCAGAGGTCAACTCTACATTGATGGACTTCTGGGAGACGCCGATAACAGTGTTCCTACTGCATATAATGACGCCATGTTCACCCAAGCCTCTACTCTGGGACCATTCAATACAGTAAGTAAATAAAGCTGCTTTGAAGCACTGTTTTTGCTGCAGGCGGTTTAGATTTCATAATCCTCGAGTTTCAATTGAATTGATTCATGACGTAGTTCATAGCTCTAGGTCTTTGTTCTCTTCAGAAGCAAATCCTCAGTTCAAATTTTTTTGTGCAGTTTCTTTTTCGCCTATTTAGTCAACATAAACGCTGTTGCTTTTATTTTTTGCAAGAAAATATTACACACCAGGTTTTGTAGCATAGTAGGGCGCCTGAAAATTCAGACGGCATTTGTTTGAAAAAAGTGAGGAAAGAGTCTATTTGAGGGACAGGTTTATTTTCCAGCGTCCCAGGCAATCCTTCTTTATTTTTCAATTTCAATTTTTGTCGTACCAGTTTTCAATTAATTGTGAATATTGTTCAAAATATTCGTATTTTGATTGCATGTTGTCTCAATTTCATATTCACACTAGTTAAAACTCGAAGTCTTAGGTTCTCAAAAACGGCTTAAGAATAATCTAGCTTTAAATTGTCTCAAGTTTGTTGTAGTTCAAAAAAATACAACCTTATTCTTTTTAGGTCATTGTTTCCTTTGATAACAACAACGCTGTTCAAGCGTTATCGTTCGGCTGGAATGGCGGTAGTGCGCTGACTATCGGCGATACTACTGGTGCTGCTCAGAGTGTTACATTGAACTCCAATAATCCAAATGTCATTGTGATGAAGGTGGCTTTGAAAAAAGTATCAGGCGCATCAACGGCGGAAGACATTGAAGTTACATTCGGGCGTAAGTTCCTTCTGATCAACCAACAAGTGATCAACTTTAACATGTTCAGTCTGGTTCTTGAGGGCGATTTTTAGAAAACTAAAGATTACCAAGCTTGTGTCTTTCTGCATTTTTCCCGGAAAAAAAGCTGTTTTTTAAAAAATTTATTGTGTTCAGAACTTTCTGTGCTACTTTAACAGCAACCTGCTATTCATGTGTGCATTTAGAGTTCTTAATGTGATGAACTTAAACGGTTATCCTTAATCTCGAAACTTTGAGAAGGATAATTTGCACGGTAAAAATCCGACTGTCTTTCTGTTCGGAATAGCTTCTTCGCGGCAGATGATTTTTTAGATTCGTGCATGCCAGTTATTCCGTATAATATTCAACGTTGGTGGAGCTAATTTTTTTTTGCTATATTGTAAAATAGTAACGAAGATTTTTCAAAATGTGTTTAGTGAACTGTAATTGCCTTCAGATTAACGATTGCTTTCATTTTTGAAGAGTCTATGAATGTAGTTCAGACTATTATACAGGAAAAAGACTTAAAATTTGTTCATGCTCAAATTTGATTTTCGGCGGTTTTACTTTTGATTTTTGTATGTCCAAATCATCTCCTTTGTTGAAAGAAAGGCAAACTCACCTATCGAACAGCAAAAGTGTAAAAGTCACGAAAAACGTGATCAGTTTCTAGTTTCGAAAGTGGATTTTAAATTTCAGATTTCCCAGCAGAATGAAAAGTTAACCCATTGAAACAGTTTTCTCAAATTGGGTTCATTTTTCAAAAAAGTGTCAATCATAATTTTTTTAGAATTTCAAAGAGCTTTGATGCCATCTATTTTTTTTCTTTGAAATTCGTTATTTCCATTTTTTAATAAAAATTAAGTCATTAGTTTTTATCCGTTTACTTGCGTTCATTGACTCTTTTCCAACTGTCTGTTGGCTAGGGTTAATTTCAGGGTGGATTTTGTTACTACCCCTATTGGTAAAATCGTGTTTTCCTACATGGTGCAAAATTTGTATTCACTTAGCCGTTAAATTAGTCCTTTGTAGGGGGTGGAAGCTCTTTCATGAGTTAGCATGAGGAGCTAACACTTTATTTTCTGTTTGATGTAGCAATAGTTTTGCTCTTTTTTTAAAGTAGTTTGTCTGTGTTTAGAGCCCATAGCTCCCTGTCTGATCGAAAAGATGGTGGTTCCGGACGTGGCTGGACAGTGGTTCACCGTTTTCACCAATATCTTCAGTGTCGGTAAGCGTCCAAACTGTTTATTTATTCAGTTTCAGTCGCATTCATAATCTGAAGAGAAAAAGAGCAAGGAATATGCAAGTTTATTTATTGAACTATAAACATGGCTGAGCGAAACAATCATGCGCACCCTTTGGTAATTGATGTCCATCTTTTCATTTGATTACATTTATTCAATTTAATCCTGTTGGTTGTTTCCTTTATTTTTGGTTTCATAGTATCACTTCGTCAAGAAGACAGCTGATGCAAATTTATACCCAACTTCTGATTGACTTCGTTGTTTAACTAACATCTTAAGTTAGGTAAACGTGAATTGGCCATGATCGGACCGGACCCAGTGATGTTTTTGGGGAATTAAAATTAGACCTGAAATGACATCTTTGTCGGCTGCAGTTAGCATATAGGTTTCATATTTCACAGCGGAAAAATATTAAGGTATTCACAATCAGAAATTGCCTGTTTTCAAATTTTCCTAGTTGAGCATCTTGAAGAACAAAATTAACTATGTTTAAAAGTAACTAAATGCAGTTTATAATGGTGCCTAATTGCTGAACAACCGTTTTTTTTTGGTTGAGAAGTGTTGTTTAACCGCTCTTAATTTAGAAACAAGCGCTAAAGTGGGCCTGATCGGAGTAAACAATACATCTAATGGTAGTCATAGTAGTGCTTCTGCTTAGATGATGACAACGATGCGGACTTGTATGATTTCTGGCTCTACATACCGGTTGACTACACCCAACTACGATCCAGACTCAATGGATACTTCTTGACAGATGGAGGCACTTACAATCTCACCATGCTGCCTGGGCCTGCAACGGTTGCATTCGACCGAGCGACTGTAGTTAACGCCAAGTTCTACCACTTGCAAGCTGAACACACGTACAATGTCGATTTCTGGGGCGAAGTTGACAACCTGGCTGGTAATAGCAATGCTGATCTGACCAGTCTCGAAACGGTATCCACTGATTTCGAGGACGGCATGGAAACATTCAGAACGCGTGAGATATTTTACCTCTTCATGCCGATTTTGATTATTCATATGCGCTTGATGTAACAACACTTGATTTGGGTTGTTGACTGAAAATAAATTCCAAGAAGAACCAAAGGATCATCCTGACCTTTAAACCTCTATGGAGGGAGAAGGAGGAAGCTAACCTGATTTAAAGCATACAAAAACTTGACCTGACTTTCAATGGTTATTACGAAAATTGTTTTCTCAAGTGGGCACATACATAAAAATATGAGAGGTTTGTGAAGTGTATGGATTTTTTGATTATGTATGTGCCCACTTGAGAAAACAATTTTCGTAATAACCATTGAAAGTCAGGTCAAGTTTTTGTATGCTTTAAATCAGGTTAGCTTCCTCCTTCTCCCTCCATAGAGGTTTAAAGGTCAGGATGATCCTTTGGTTCTTCTTGGAATTTATTTTCAGTCAACAACCCAAATCAAGTGTTGTTACATCAAGCGCATATGAATAATTGAGTATTGTGGGGGATGGCCAAAGGTTGTTGGATTGATTTTCTTTCAAATAAATATACAATTCAGCCCAAATCGAATTTAAATAAAACGTCGAATTAACTTATTTTGTAGCCTGCCAAAGTACAAAATGTATGAATAATTTATAATTTCATTCAGAATTAATCTGAAATATGCTTGGGGAGATTTTATGTTATTATAAATTTTTTTATATTCTGTATGAAATTATAAATTATGCATACATTGTGTTGTGTACTTTGGTAGGCTACAAAATTAGTTAATTCGACGTTTAATTTAAATCGATTTCGTCACTTTTTTTAAGGGGGAGAGGGGAAGAGATGATTAGATTATACGGTTGATCCACATTTTCTTCCGAACACCTCACTGAAAGAGACTTGAAAAAACTATGGGACAGGCTCTTTTTTTCAGCTGATTATATGGTATCGTATAAAATTTTTCAGAGCCAAAAAAATTTTGTTTCGAGAAAAGCTGGTCTGAACTTTTTTTTATATTAAATGACACAAAGTTGACAATAGACACGATGAGAGACTAAAATTTCAATTTAATTATACTGCAATTTTTTCATTTATTTAGCTGATATATTATCTCATTTTGGATCTTTGTACTTAATTCAAACGCTTTTTACCAGGGGCGGATCTAGGATTTTCTCGAGGGGGGGGGCGGATTTTCAAAAAATTTTCCAAAATTTTGACGACCTTTTTTTTTTTTTAGGTCGACCAAATTGATTTTTGAGCTCTCCCAAAGCACTGTTTTTCCCCTATTTTGGCAAAATTTTCTGCGCAGCAGGCAAATTTTTGAAAAAACAGTCAAAAAAGCCGTTTTTGGGCACTTTTTGAAAAAATTTTGACAAAAAAAATCGCGTTTTTTTTGGCGCGCGCTCCCCCTCAAAGTTAGTATATATTGGCGCCCTAGGCGCTTTTAGAAAAATTTTAGGGTCGTTCGGCCTAAAATGGATTTCTGAAAAAGTATCAAAGGGGAAACCCTTTGGGTCGGCAGGTGGTCGAATCCCTCAGAGGAAAGCGTCCGCCCCCCCCCCCCCCCTAAATCCGCCCCTGCTTTTTACTAAAAAACAAACTTCAGCCAAAAAATGAAAAAAAAAATTTTTTTGGTTTATTCGTATTTTGGATTTTTCTTAATTCTTTTGTTATTGATTTTTACTGTACAGCAACGGGATATCCTGGTTGATACAACGTCAATGGGCAGAAAAGGATAAATGAAGAGCGCAAAACAGAGAAACAGACGTTTTTTTTTCACAAATAAGATTGAAATCAAAGAAAAGATGACGCACTTTTTGTTGCATACGGATTCATCAAAATGAATGTTATTTGTCGTAAACCAAAAAAAAAATGCTGTACTTGAGACCTATTTGAGCATTCCAAATGAAATTAAGTTGTAATATCCCTGCATTGTGGTCAAATTTCCACTTGAATTTTTTTCAGCACATGGTGTGAGGTTGGAGTGTACCACGGATGGACAAATGTATGAACAAGTGGAGTACGAGGCCGTTCCCGACCGTAAGTTGACAAGTTTTATTTCTTCGTTTTCCTGCCTGAATTTGGGACCAGGTCTAGACTGGAATGGTTTAATGTTTAAATGTCAATGAGTGCTTCTGGCTGTAATTCCAGTTAGTGAACAGGTCTATACTGCCATCATGCCTTATATTTTTTTCTGTTGTTTGATACTATAAAGGTATGTAGCCATAAGTATCTTTACGTGCCAAGTACCAAGGGCTTAATTTGGTAAGCTAAAAGCTCAGTGTGCTAACTTTTGCTAATTTTATCAACCAGTCAAACAATTTAAATCATTTTCACAAATCTGCACTAATTCGCACATAAGTCGCGTAAACTGGCATGGTTATTGAAACACATGCTATCTTAGAGCTAAACGATATGAGCAAAACCTATGCTTATTGACATGCATTCTAAACACTATGAAGATGTGCAATAATTTCAGCCGAGATAAAGACATACTACACTGCTGACTCTGGCAGCCTCGGGTCGACTGTGGGGGGAGTGGACACAGAGGCAGCCCAACAGGACCAGTTCAGCAACTACAATTTCTTCCACTATGACCCGAACAGCGACAACTACCCCAAGTACGGAGACTTCGCTGGATACCCCACTGGAGCAGCTGTGTATTACAGCAATACTGATAATTGCATCCAGGGTTTGGCTCTGACTTACCGTGCTTTCGACGGCAGTACATTTCGTTCGTTCGTGGCCGGAGACGAGGCTGGATACAACACCAATACCTTAACTAGAGATCAAGTAACCTTCACGATGCCCGTCACTCATGTCTATGGCAACATCGGTAATGATGGAGGGTCGAGTTGCCTGTCCGGAATCAGATTCACGTATGTGCTTGTTTTGAGTAGTTAGTTAATCGGTGGAGACTCTTTTATAATGTGCTACTTGCCAAATTATACTATTTGCATAGACCCTTGTTTGGAACAAAAGACAATAGACAAAACCAAAACTGATCACTGCGAACAGTGTGGTGAAGATAACTTTCAGATGCTACAAACATCACTGATCTAAAAATAATTTTAAGAAAAATATCCAAAACTCATGTGTGGCTTATGTGGCTTACTGGATACTATTTTTTGCCACCTCAAATACTGTTTTTCTAGTCTCCTCTTGTAAATTTTGACTGTTTTAGAATCGGACCTGCTGGCTCAGTTGGCACGACTGATTTTGGCTGCATCGGGCCCAGCGCTACCAGTTGCAACACTCAGTTATTCCAAGATGACCAAAGCGATACAGGTATCACCTACTACCTGAGCGGACTCAAAGTTTCCAGTGACGCAGACGGAGACTACGTCAGAGGAATTGCAGGAGCCTTCACATATGTCGGTAAATAAAACGATCACAGAGTTGCTGATACGTTCACAACATGGCAAATGGTTTACTATTAGTCATTACTCTAGTTTCTCGTAACTTAAGATTACGAATAAGACCATTTTATCCACGGGGGAAAGGACCAACACAAGAGCTGTTCAGCTCATCATGGCGAACCGCTGTTGTGCCCCTGTTTAAGAACTACATGCAATTTTTTTGATTATTTTTCTGGGCTGGGTAATGTTGCGGATTTAGGGAGGGGGAAGTGTGGAGGCCGGACGTCCCCCCCCCCTCCTTGGGGATTTAGGGAGTTGACCCTCTCACCAACCATAGGGTCCTCCCTTTGGTATTTCGTCATGACATCCATTTTAGGCCGACCAACCCCATTTTTTTCTAAAGGCGCCTTTGGCGTCATTATACTAATTTTGAACGGACCGTGAGCCGAAAACAACGCAATTTTGTGGTCAAAATAGGGTCTTTATAGTGTTTTGGGAGTGCTAGGAAAACCGTAAAAAAGGTCAACAAACTTTTCTAAAAAAAATTGAAAATCCCCCCTCGAGAAAATCCTAGATCCGCCCCTGGTATGGCAGAAATGTTGGTTCAAATAACTAATTTAAGTTTTTATGACATGACTCCCTCGCATTGCAGTGTTACATATTTTATCTCAAGCAATGTTGTGCAGGTAAATTAAAGTATGATATAAATCATAAAGTAAGTTTTCCTTTTAATTATGTAACTCATAAACTGTTTTCTGGACTTCATGTTAGTGTTACCGTCTTCTTTCGTTGTAAAAACTGTTTGGACGGGAAGTTGTATCAGTTTTTCTTTTTCTTTTTGGTGCAAACACTGTAGTTTTTGCCGGAGATTTTATCTTCTGTTTTTGCTAGATCATTTATGCATTGATTTGTAAAAGTGAAATGCAACGTATATAAATTGAATACAAAAAGACTTACATTTTTTGTAGACCTGCCAGAGGTTGAAACCAACGGTAATTGCATCTTGGACATGGATATTGATTGGAACTATATTAGACATTCCAGTTGGTGCAAGGAACTCAACTTGATTACTGATGCGATCGACTGTGCTATTAGTACCTACCGATACCCCGACCACCAAACTGACACTACTGATAAACCTGACCAGAGAGACCCGGATGACGCTTTCTACGAAGGCGACGAACACCAGATCACTTACCACCAAAAACTCATCCGAACCAGAGACCGAAATCAAGAGACTTGGAAGGATAATACCAAGAACACAGGAGGTACAGACCTAGGTCTGACTATAGTGAGACAGAACGACTGGCAGGCAAATCTGTTCTGCTACTACAATGCCACTGGTCTGGTCAGCAGCAGTTTCAGTGTGGAGCCAGAGGAAGGGATCTTCGCCGCCGGCAAGAATGAGTTCAATTTCGCACTCAAGATCTACCAGGATCACACCTACAGTACCGCATACGGACCGTATGTTTGCTAATTGTACTTTATAATTGTCATCATTCAGTCCACGCTTCTATGATTGATATTATTGATAGAAACTCATTGTTAATTAAAATTGGGCAAAACATGCAACAATTTCAGCTCAAGGATAAAAAAGACAAGTGTTCGAAAAGGACATGGTGGATGAAATAATAGCGGTCTGAACTCGACAATTTTGACTTGAAAATACTTTCAAGAAATTTTTAACATGACAATAAAATCAAAAACGATAGAAATGATATATCGATACTCGAATTTCCAAGAGAGTTGTTAAATATATTTGTGGTTTGCTAGAAACGAAGTGCCTATCATGTTGTTGGATGAGCCAGTGTACATGGCTGTGACCATTGAAGACAGCGAAAGTGCCTTCTATGTGAGAGGATTCAAGTGCTGGGCTTCTAAAACAGAAACTCTGCCCGCACCTACAAACAACGAAGAATGCTATACCCTGTCCCAGGAATCCGGGTAATCAATTCGTTTGTTAAACGCTGCTCTCTGATTCCTTTTTAGGCATGGCGACAATTTGTCGCAGGCGACAACTCGTAGCCAGCGATAATTCGTCGCAATGATGTAAAGCTACCTTCGTCGCAAACCTATTCCAATTTAAGCAGAACTCATTGCTTAATAGTTTTGTTAAACATTGGATAAAGAAGCCCACACCCGCTAAGGCTTTCGCCGGTTGGTTGCTGCACCTTACTTAAACAGTTTGTAAATATTTTGTTTTGTTCCGACTGACAGAATATTTAAAAATGACGGAATATTTATTGGCGTTGTATTCAGTCAAATTTCGACTTGAGTAATTTCATATTGAATACAATTTGAGATGCATTTGCATCTAAAATATCGCATGGGAGCATAAAAAAGGACAAACATAAAACAAGGCTAGCCAGTTGCTGTGCAAGTAGCACAGAAAGTTCCAACCATATTCATAAAAAATAGAATTTTTAAATTGCTTTAAATTAGTGTCGTTTTTAGTGGGTGGTGTGATTCGAGAACTATACGATCGCGTAAAAAATAAGTGAATTAGACATGATCAACAATTTTTTTTCAAGAAAAGAATACCAAACAAAAAATGAAAATAAAGTTTAAATGTTTTTAAAATTTTTTAAATAATTTTTCTACAATAGTTTTAATTAATTTTTTTTTTGTAAATTTTTATTGTCAAATGAGCGCTGAAAGAAACGTCCAAAACTAACTTTCTTGATGGTAAAATCAAGTTTTGTGAGCCTAAAATTACTTTAAAAATTGTTAATTTCCATATAACGAACGTTACTCAATCGCGTTTTTGCTCGATTTTGAACTAAAAATCAAAAATTTTAAACAGGTTTTTCCCGACACTGAATAAATTTTTTGGAAATTTTTAATGCCATTTTAGTCATGACTGAAAGGCTTTTAATATACTACACCACTCAACTTTCTCGATGATTATTTGTGGTAGCTGATTTTGCGTAGAAAACAAAAAAGAAAAAAAACAAAGAACTAAAACACACCCGAATACAAAGTTCCTCTGTGTTTTCAATGGTCGGAACAAAATATTCTTTTTTTTTCGATTATTTTGATTTTTTTTTCATGCTTGGTCGAAATAGGGTCTTAATAGTGTTCTGGGAGTGCTCGGAAAATCAATTTGTTTGGTCGACCTAAAAAAAAAAGCTCAACAAAATTTTCAAAAAGTTTTTGAAAATCCCCCCTCCCCCCTTGAGAAAATCCTTGGTACGCCCCTGTTCGGAACATTCAGGTTTTTTTCTTGGCGCGCGGGTAGTATTGTTTGAGTTATTTATCGAAATGATGATCAATTTAATGCCTCATTGGACAATTATTCATTCCAGCCGGATAGAGGGTATAAGCTATGTTTCCTACTTAGGAAAAGACAAAAAAAGCACATGGTGAATGGATACATGACATTTCAATTGAAGTATTTGGTGTAAAAAATATTATAGGCCGATAACCCTTTGCTGTCGATGAATTTTTTTGGTTAAAATAACTGTTTAAAAATGTACGAAAAAATGAAAAAATGTTTTCTGTTTTTTTTTTAATTGATCCACCTACAAAGTGGTATCGTTTGCTTCTATATCGTATCCTAACGTACAGTTACCAATGAGAAAAATATTTTGAAATTCAATCCCTAGAATTTTACAAAAGGTCCCAGGTGAAATTTCTTTTGAATTTTGGGCTTTGGACATCAATATTGTTCAAATGGTATTAGAAAAATCCGCAATAAATGGCCAGTTAAAAATTGAATTTAGTCTCGAGGAAGAACGCTTGGCATAAATTTTTCATCACTTCTTTCAAAAAAAAATTCCGCTTTAAAAAATTCAATTTATATGCTCTTCGAAGCAGAAAGGAAAATGTGTCGACAATCGCTGTTGGCTTCATGTTTCTAAATTGGTTTTAGATTGAATGTCTCATTTCAAGTCTCACTTGAATACAACATTTTATCCACCATGCTTAATCAGATTGGATGAGTGTAATAAAAAAGCGCTGTGTTTTAGCCAGATTTTGATTTGTTATTATAACGGGTACGTGATCGTTGCTACAGGTGTTATCAAGACGACACTTTCCGATGGGACACAGGCTTTAGTACGCGGCTTATGGATCCTTTCTACTTCGATGCCTTCGCCTGGTTTGATAATAACGTAGTTTCGACCGAAGTTGTCTTCATTCAGTGCGAAGTCAGGGCGTGTCTCGAGGACGCGGAAGATTCAACATACTGCTCCAGAAGTTAGAACTATTTCTTTTAAGATCTTAATAATTAGTTCGTTTCTGCGGATCGTAAAAGGATAGTTAGTATTTCATTATAATCAGCGATTTTATCAGTGATCCTTATGCAGCAAGTGTCATTGATCAGTGTTCGAAAGTAGATTTAAAGTGTTGAAAAAAAATCCGCACTCTGGAGATTCCGCTTCAACAATTGTTCAGATATTGTTCTAGACTATACATATTATTGAGACTTCATCATTGCGAAGTTTTCAATGCAGCCTACGGGCCCACGGAGTTCTGAAAAAAGCGCGGAAAGTTTTAGCAAAAAAAATTCTTATAGAAAAAAGCGCGGAAAATTTTAGCAAAAATTTTTTTATTGCGCAGGCGTTTGATTTTCGAGCTCTCACGCCAGGGGCGGATGTATTTATGGAGGAGAGCAAAGGATGGGCAGAAAAACTTCCTCCTCCTTCACGGTTTAACCTTCTTGCCACCCAGTGCCCCTTGCAACATAGTGCCCTTACAGTGTTTTCGGAAATCCATTTGGTCGACATCAAAAGTAGCAAAGTCCGTTCTACCCCAATTTAAATTAATTCGCAGATCGGCATTGTCTCACGAGCCATGTCTCCTTTGAGAGACAACTGATAGAGGCATGATGAGTGGTCGCTTCTATTTATAGCACAAGATTGATTTATCTTACCAGCGAAAATCTTTTTTCAAATAAATGTTTGTAACATTAATATTTAGTATTAAATGTTACAAATAAGTTCGCCAATGCGTCGTATTTATTGAAATTTATATCTACGAACTTGAATCTTGCCGTTTGAATGAAATTGGATTGCTTGTTGTTTAGTATCTGAGCAACTACTTTTGACTCATAATTTAGTGGCAGCTATGATGTTTCAGCTTCTGAGAATAATGCATGTACAGATTTGAATACACGGCAGCGTAGGGATCTTTCTCCGATCGAGAATAACATGGAGACGGTCATCACTTCCACGCCCATCATCATCAAGCGACGAGACACTGCGGCCAACACTCTCAACAGTTAGTGTATTTTACCCTCCTCCCACCCCTTGCTTTTTTCCAATGACGAGCCAAACCCGCCATTGATATCATGTCAACATAATGCATGGCTATAATTGTTTTCAAAGAAAGTTTTATGTTGCTTAGGCCGCCGAAATTGATACCCGAAGCACTGTTTTTCAAATAATGATGGAAGTTTGTTGGCGGCACCTTCAGTTCTAGTTTTTGATACAGCTTTTACTGTAATTTTGTGTCCGAGTCCTGAACAAATAAGATTAAAGACAGGTCAAATTGAGCATACTTCATTGCTTAAAGTAATGATACACATGAAAAACATTAAACTTTTTGTGTGACAAAACTCCTGTGATTTTCATTCTGTGTTGTTTTTTGTTGACTATTTTCCCCTTTTTTTACTCACAAAATGGGAAGGAGGAATGAATTGTTGAAATTTATTCGCCCATTTTAGGTTCACCAAAGAAAGCTTGAAGATTCAAGGTGGTATCATAATCTGCTCCTTTTGGTTCAGATTTGAATTTCAAACCAAATAAAGTAAAATTTTTGCAAGTGTTTAAAACGCGGGTCTATTTTTATACCTCTTGTGTTTTTCGCAATTGACCCGAGCTCAGAACATTAACAGTCTAATTTTTCTCGCCGATGTATTAATTGGATTTAAATTACCTGAAACTAATTAATTTCAATGGCAGTAAGGAAGGAATGTTGTTAATTAGAAATGATATTTCGGCGTCTTCTTAATCGCAATTTTTTTACATCGAAAAATTTTGCATTGTTTTGTTGATGAGAAACTTTGGATCTACTTAACAATCTCCAAATATGGTACCTAAGAATCTCCACCCCTATAAATAAAAGCAGTAAATTAGAGCTAGTGCTTTGTTTTGAGAGGTCTAATTTTGCTTTATTCTGATTGGTCAAAAACCGACCCTTTTGATCCCGCGGAGTTTGTTAAGTAGATACGAAATTTTTTACCTCTCAAATCGGCTCACAATGAATTGTTTATTTGTGTTTGTTGTAGTTGAGCGTGGCCCCATCAGACTGGAGGAGGGAGGAGTAAGGATGGCAGCTGGGTTGTTCAGTCTTTTTGTCACCACCATGTTCTTCTGCGTCCTTGTCATCTCCTACAAGGTCTACAAACTCAGAAGCAACTACACCAGACTGAGGACTTCCACCGGAACGGTTAACAACCAAAACTAAGAAGACCAAGAAAAGAAAGGACTGGAACAAAGAGGAGCAAATATAATGCTTGTTTTTTTTCTATGAAGATTTCAAATACATCTTTTTATGCGGAAAATACTACGCTTTTGTAAAGCGGAAATTGTAAATAATTTCGTACCCTTTGAAAATTTTTGTATTCACATTTTGATGTTATTATCGGAGATTCTTGAAAGTAAAAAAAAATAATTTTGCATGTATTTTGTATATACGAAAATAAATGTTTATATCGGCGCTTTTGACGATAGTGTCGAGTTGTTCCTGAACAAACTCTTGGGTGAAAAGAAACCATAGTCTGTTCCACAAATTAAGCCTTGAGCGTGGAATCATCTAAGGCTTAGCATGATTCCTATTTAAAAAATAATAACAACAAAAATGGCGTTGGTGTAAAGTGCAACTTGTTTGAATATTTCAGCTTTTCAGACCTCTTTACACCAGCAGATGAGATTTAATGATTTGAATCATTGACTTTGATTTTGATTTTTTTTTCAGTTAAGTTTTCGTTACGACATCTAAGCTATTATTATTCCGCTGGAGATTGGCAATCGTTATCATATCGGAATGTAGGTTATTTGCTTTAATAACTTTTTGACAAATTCACTTGAATCGTTTGCCGGTGACGTATCTGTTCTGATGAAATTTAAGGCCGACTGAGAGTTCTATCCTTCACAGCAATCCTAAGTTCTATCGAACTTATTCCCCAGCGATGAAAAAAATGTGCCAAAAAATCACATCAAGTATGCAAACATTCCCTTTTTTAAGGTTACGTAAAAAACTCGTAGTTTCGCTCGGCTTCACCATCAAACGCAGCAGCAAAAAAGTTATTTTCTCCGTTTCTGTCATGCTTAAAGGCAATTTATTTAGATTACTGTTTGGTTAATATTTGTGGAGGCCAACTACCTTGAACGGTTTAAACACATGAAAAGTAAGCCAGCAGTCCATGTGAGTCAATGCAATAAAGGTTTTCTGTCCGGCAGCAAAATGCCCAGTTTCAAAATCGGTAATAAAATTTTTGGGCAGAAAATAAATTTGTAATGTTTCTTAACACTTTCTTTCAAACGTTTGAAAATTTTTGAACACAGGCTTTTATTTTTTTTCATTTTGTCAACTATTCCCTTGTACCCCCTTTTGCAAGGGGAGGGCTAATTCGTTACAAAATACCGTAGGGGAGAGAGTTAAGTAAAAAAGATCCAATTTTGTTTTTACTTTTTATTCGGTTCACCGTTGCCAATCACTTCACTATTTCAAAATCGTTTTCTTTGAACTAAAAAAATGCATTGTTAAAGAATATAAACTGAATCGCTAAGTTAAAAATTTGGGCTCTTTTCCAGTCCCCCCCCTTTCAAAATACCGAGTTTTATATTTGTTTTACGTGTTATTACGGCTAAATACGTGATTTTACGCTGCAAAGTATGAAGATCAGAATTGTCGATTTGTTCACCACGCCAAATTTCATTGCATTATGACAACGTTAAATAGACTTTTCAAAATTGAATTGGAAAGGGGGAGAACTGGAACAGAGCCAAAATTTGTTTTTGGACATTTTGATATCTTAACTCTTCTCTCCCTTTGGTACCTAATCGGGACTCGCAACTCCTCTAGTGAACTGTTTCAACGGTTAATCATTTGTGACTTTGTACCTACTAACAATCTCTCCTCCCCCTTGCAGAAGGGGGGGATATTTGAAGAGAACGAAACTTTTTTGCTTTTTTGGTTAGCCAGCCAGAGGCCTAACCTACAGGTTAACAATTTAAGGTTAACTAAGTCATGGCTATCTTACAAGAGCTCACCTGGTAAATTGCAGCGCACGTGCGAATTGAACCAGCAATAATATGGTTGCAGGGCACCATCACTACCGGTGCGCAACCACACCACTTTTCTACATAATTTACAAAGACCCTCATGTGGGCAATCAGCTAGTGGAGTGCAAAAATTTACTTCCCTTTGACCCACTAAAATCTATGCTAACAAGAATAATCTCTTGGTTTCATTCAATCTACATGCTAAGCGTCTATTACTCAGCTGTATTTCAATATCATAGCAGAATTGAATGAAATTAAACTATATACGCATTCAAGACAAAAAACGAAACGTTTTTTTTTTCAAAAATTAACGCTTTTTTCAGAAATTTTTCTAGTAGATTTCCCGAGTTGCTATAAATTTTTTTCTCCTTTGATTATGTTTATAAAGCCTCTTATGTGTACGTGCAGCTAGTGTGTTCAAAGCTTAAAAAAACTATATGTTCACCATATGAATACGGACCAAAAAATGTTTCGTTTTTTGAATATTTTTTGTCAACTCAACTTTTGAAGTGACTTCTCAAACAAATTTCCTTAATATCTTTATTTTCGACAGTGGCGATTATATATTTTTTTAAATTAAAACAATAAATGCGGGCAGTTTGTCTATGTCAACTAAATGTGCAATATTGTTAAAAATTACCATAAGATTTTTTTTGTTTTTCTAGTTGTTTTCTTTTTCAGTTTTGTTTCCTAGATTGTTGTCGTTTTTATGCAATCAGCTAGCTCATTGCAACGGGTAAATTAATTATTGCTCAGAATAACCCAAGTCAATATTTGTATGCCCATCATCAATTTATGTTTGTAAACAGAAATCTTGAAATCAAGATATTTTTGTTCCGACCGCCTCACTAGTGATAGAAGCAAAATATAAAATATGTGCGTTTTTTCTAAAGTTGGACTACCGCAATGTAAAAGGGCTCAAAGGTTGTATTGCATTGAAGCCCTTTTTTCCGTTTTTTTCTAACACTTGCTAGCTGCTTTATTTTGTTCTCAGAATGATCAAACAGTACATTTAGGTTCAGCTCAAATTGAATTGAAGCACATTTGGTTTAGAGGAAATAAATATGCGCGGGACGTCAGAAATCCTGCTTTCGAATCTGATAGGGTCTGTTGTTTTTGAATGGAAAATATTCCCCTTGATAAGATACAACACAAATTGGAGAAAAATCGTTGGATTTGTTAATTTGCTTGAAAAGTAGCCTTGCCTTTACTTATGCACTCCTTGAACAGCCAACTGTTACCATTGTGTTTGTTGAAGACCATTAGTTTTTCATTTGAGACATTTTGAACACTGAAGCTGCTCACACAACAACAATATTTATGACAAGAAAATTTTTCATGTAGACAACACAGAAAAAATAAGTAACGGCATAAAAGCTTTTGTGTCAGTTCATTTACCTGTACAATCGAAAGAACCTTATTTTTTCACTTTCACAAGTTAATTGCTATAAACTGCATATAACTGAGTTTTGCTGAATATTTAGGCAAAAAGGAGTTTTTCATTCTCCAAACATTTTGATAGCTCATTGGAAAATAAGGTAATCAAGTTTTGCCAACATGATTAGCTAATTCCAAATTAATGCTATCTCATTGTTGCAATTGATATCGCTAGATGATGCTAGGCAAAGAAAGCGATGGGAAATTAAGACAAGACCTTTAGACGACAAAATGTATTAGCATCCAAATTTGTTGCTATTACAAACAAATCCATCCCAATAAGTTTTTTCAAACAACGTTTCACCTATAGACAATAATTTTAATAAATTGCACGAAATTGTCAGTTAAAATTAACTTCTGACACTTTCTTGTTCGGGTAGCCAGTGTATTTTGAGAAATTCGTTGAATAACACTGTTTTCTTTCGGAGTTTTTTTGAGAATGTTTCAAGAAACTGTTTTTTATTCACTCCGTCTTTTTAATGCTCTGAGATTGCCATCCTTCACAACTATTTCTAAATAGTTTTAATTTAGATTCGTGTTTGTTTTCAAATTTTGAAGGCCATCTTCCAGGAACTTTTTAACGCATATGGAAAAGAGGACGGCAGCCCATGTGAGTCAATCCAATTGAGATTTCCCATGCGGCTGCAAAATCTCATGAAAACCCGAAGCAACTGGAAGTTTCCGGTGTATATTGCTTCCACAAGAAGTTTCTATACTTTGAGAGTATCTATGCTAACAAGAGTAGTCTCTTGGCTTCGCTCAATCTATATGCTGGGCGTCTACTGCTTCTGCTTAGCCTTATATGACAGAGTCGCAAAAAAATAAGTTTGCATACTCATTTTGTGCATACAAAACGAAATTAAGAAAAAACCACGATGTCATTTTTATTAATTTCTCTTCTAAATTTACTGGAAAAAAATGAAGATGCTTTCCAGTTGACCCTACTGGTTGCGAGTTGGAAAATTTTGTTTCTTTTCATTTCTTATTAAATTTCATAACAAATCTTTTGAGTACGTGCTGCTAGCGTTTAAAAATTAGTGTTTTTAAGGCTTAACAAATTATATGTTCACCTTACGCACACTGAGAAAAAAAAGTATCTACATTGTTTATTTTTCTTTTTTTTCTATTCAACTTTTCAAAAGGCTTTTTAAACAAATCTTTTGATTATATTTAGTTTTCGACAGTGAAAAATAAACCTTTGAGAACTTTAGGCAAAAAATGA